AACGACCAGACCATACCAGATTGGAAAGAATAGAATGGACTATGGATGGAATAAAACAAGTATGCATAACGAAACATTCAACCAACCAAACAAATGACCAAATGTTAGCAGGAATGGAAAAACGAGTTACGTACTACACAGGACACCAAATGTATAGCAATAGCAGCAACAGTAGTTTGTTGCTTTTTAATTAATAGAAAAGTCCTTTGTAAAGTAATAAATAAATATTATGTTTTGCGGTTACAAAAACTCATAGGAACACACAAACAAAGACACTCTTACAATTTCCATCAATTCCGTGGAGCATTGAGTGGGACACAATAATAAATAGAAAAAAAAAATAAATAAAAAAATAAAAAAAAATAAAGGCATGGAGCGTAATATGGCAAAAGCACACCAGTCATTGTAAGCAAACGACCGCAGGTGAAATTAAAAAATACTCACACAAAGAGTGTGAGAATCGGCTGTTGTGCCACATGACAGCACCGCAAATGAAATTGTAAAACTGTAAACGTAACGCAGATGGGAATAAAAGTCATAATGCTTTTGCTAAATCATGTCTGTCTGTCTGTCTGTCTGTCTGTCTGTCCCTCTTTCACCCCTAATACCAAAGACGTTGTTGTTATCTAATCCACATATTTAAACGAAATGTTATAATAAAAATCGAATCCAATCAATTAATTGCACCTTTAATAGCTTAACTGACGTTATAATCAGTTTGCGGCCTTTCATAATTGACGGTGAGAGACAGAAGAAGAAAGGTATCTGAAATTTTATTTATACTATATAGTAGCATAGACGAACATATACTAAAATCTTATTCAAGGCGTGGGTTACATCACTTTTTAAATCCAATCTAGATCTAAGCGTTGTAATACCTTTCGTGCGTAATTTCGGTCGTTAGGCTCAACCGGCTAGCAACCTAACAGGAAACTTATTTAAGAATATCCTTGGAAGCTTATTTGCGAGTAATTAATTCATTCGACTTTGGCCGATTATTTGGCAACGACCCTTCTGTGCACTCATAGAAATTTTTATCGCTTTTTTTTTTTTTTTTTTTTTAAAACAGTCGTTCCCATCTTTTATTATACTTGTGGCCGTTTCCTTTGACTCATCTCGCCTCAGTATGTATGTAACGCTTTTGCCGAACTTGAAACCGATGTTTTTCTTTTGCGATCGGGAAAATTTCTACGACATACATTGGACAGGCATTTCTTTTGGTGACGGGTATAAAATTATCTGTATGTATGTCGTGGTGTTTATCTATCAGCTTGCATTGGTGCACATTTTTAATTTACATATAAAAAAAGAAAGTATTAGCTCGCGGGTTTTCACCACAAACGAAAGTGGACGCGCGACAGTCTCCCACAAACATTGCCGTTCCTTTGCAAAGTTTGCAACAATTTTCCCAGGAGCAATAAACCCAGTAAAAAAGCCAACTCAAACTCTCCTTTAAAATTGCAACATTATTATAAAATTAAGAGGATATGAGGGTAAAAAGATCATAAGAAGGTAAGAGAAGTAAAGGGATAATATTATTGGCATCGCATCGTAAGAACCGTTAAAAACCTTGAAAATATTTTGCTAACGGTAATCACATCACTATTGGGGTATTTAGATGATCCTAGGAAATATTGTAGGATCTTTATAAGGATCACATTATAAGTACTTTATCGTCTATTGCGGGCAGACCACAATACAATTTTTTCATCACTGGTTTGTTTAATATTCTCCGTAGTGGAATATCATATTTCAAGAGTTTCAGACTAAATTGTTATTAATTGGTCTGTGTGTGTGGGTTGCATATCACCACTAGTGGCAAACAATAAAAAAGAAAGATACTTCACCGCAAGTTGTCATCATGCCCCAATTTTCTATCTCTCTTGGCGACAATGAGAATTACGAACAGCTGAGGCCTATTTTCATTATTACACAACGGATATGACAAACCTGGGATTCAACCGAGAAAATATATGACAGTTATTCCCTGAGCAGAAAAAATATTTTAAATATAATAAAACAATTTTTTAATAGCTAAAAAACGCTATTTGTCAACTCCGAAGGAAAGTTATTTAGAGAAAAACTCATAGTTAAATCAAACCCTAAACCAATTTTACTCATTTGTTTTACTTTCTGTAAGTAAACAACATTGTTTTTTCTTTGTTTTTTTGTTTTTTTTTTTTTTTTGCCCTCAATCCGCTACTTGTATATATAATTATATTATCCTTAGAGCAAGGCATACTGAAAATTCCATCATAAAATCGTTTCGCTGATGGGGGAGGAGAAAAGGGCAAGCACCAATTAAACGTAGACCTCGCCTCAAATTATTTCATTGATTTAGTCATTTAGTTGGCCATCTTTGAATATTTAATGCTTATTAAAAATTGTTTAGCTTTGTAATCGTTGCGCATATAAAAGTGATTGAAAATGTAAAGAAAGAGAAACAAGAAAAAAAAAAAAAAAATAAATAAAACAGGAAAAGTGATTCATTTGTATTACATGCGTGACATTCAGGCAGCGGAGGCGGAAAAATCAATTAATTAGGGCTTTTTTCATAATCATAACGTTTGGCTTTACTTTACTGAAAAGCAAATATATTTTTAAGGTTTTGGCATTTTTTTTTTCTTTTTTGCTCTTTTTTTGGCCGGAGGAGAACAGTCGTTGCGTTTTGTTCTAGTTATGGAAAGCATGAAATAGCTTTTTAACATACTTTACCAATTTACAATTGGACGCAATTTTATGGGGTAGAGAGTTAATAACATAAAAATTGATAGGACATGGCAAGACTCTTAGATCATTGTTAATTTGGTGACGGTGAAGATAAAGCCCGCCGTGCAAAGTCTATATTTTTTATGTATATTTGCAAAAGGGATTTAATGAAGACACAAACCAACCTTGAGAGCTATTTTCACTCTCGCTTTGATTGAGTAGTGCGCTTCTTTGACGAGTTAACGTCGCCTATACACCTCGGCATTCAAAAATTTATGACATAAATAACCGCAAAACAAATTTCTGCCAGTTATCAAGGATCAGGAAAAAAAAGAGGAAAGAAAAAAGAAAAAAGCGGTCGGCGGACGGACCCAAAATAATAAAGTACTATTAGCCACTAGGTATAGACATTGTCATAATTGAATATTAACTCTTTCAACTTGCCAATGAATTTAGTTAGGAACTTGCGAATGCAGGATATAGGAATGTTGCGACGTCGCTAATTACACATTTGGTCATGGCCAGGGACGTTTACTCGAAAACACGCGAAGATAGAGAATAAGAAACAGATATAAAAAAAATGTTTTATTAGAAGCAGAACGCAAAGCATTTCCGTAGTAAGTAGGCTTCGACACAAAGCATGTGAATTAAAAAAAGAAAATGCAAGTACCTATCGCGCCTCTCGAATACTGATATTCGAAAAGGAAATATTAAAAACGTAAAGTGTTCGACGTAAGTTCTAGAAAATATTTTTTGCGTCTTACTATCTACTTTGTGAACATATTTGGTCACAAAAGTTGCGTCTTCGAAAAAGACGATATAACGTAAGTATTTCCCGTTCAATGCACACGAGAGATTATTGAATGAAAGAATTGCGGAAAATCTACAAAGCAAAAATGCTTCTCTCGGATTTCGTCAACTAACAATAATCCGAAGTTTGCAACAAAAATTTATTTAAATAAGTTTTTCTTTCTTTCAACAAGTGAGGTTTTTTAATTTTTTAGTAAAATCTCGACCGCAAAATTATTTATTTGGTTTTCTTTTTATTTTTTTCGCTTTTTCTCTCCTCATGATTTTCATATATTAGTAATACTTTATGGTTATTAGGAATCATAACAAAAAGTTTGTGTTATTGAAACAAAGTTTTCTTTTCATCGGTTTTTAAGCCATTTTGGTCGGTTGGTTGGTTTGGTTGATTTATATGTTCGTTCGTTCATAGATGTGTGTGGTATCTTTAGCATATTTTCAAAATTTATTCATTCCATTTTTTTTTTTTTTTTTTTTTTTTATTTACTAAAAACTTTGCATGTTTTAAATATATTAAGAAGTTTTTAAGGTTTTACAACAACAACATTTCTTTTAGCATAATTTTCTTTTTTTTTTTTTTATAATTTCTATGCCTTAAAAACCCATAAAAGAAAAAATAATAATTCATCTGTTTTTGCAGAAATATTTTAATCTTACCACAAAATCTTCTTAAATACTTGCAAAAGAACAACAATATGAATTTGTTATTATATAAATGAAAAAGAATAATAAAAAAAAAAAAGAAAAAATGAAAGAAATAAGAAAATAAGAATCACTTAGGAAAACAAATAATATATTAAAATAAGAAAGAACACTTATAAAATAACTAAGAAAGCTATGTTGTGCTCACCTTGGAGCGAATTTGAGATACTTGGAGGAGGAGGAGACCACCAACCCTAAAATGAGTTAGCTATCTTTTTAAATTGTATTTTTTCTTTTTATTATTCCTATTCTAATCATGCGTACTTTTAAGAGCAGCAACTAATCTAAAATATTAGTATACTTTTAAGCTTTAAGATATAAAAAAAAGAAAGTAAAGAAATAGCCGTAGTTCTCCTCCAACAGTATTTGATGCGCTTTTCATGCCCATTTCTGGAGGTTACAAACCTAGTGAAAAAGTTACTACACTTATATTCAATCTTAAGGTGATTTAGAAGAAAGACAGCGCGAGTCATATGGCAGGCAAGAAGAAATTCACGCAGAGCAGAAGAACGAACAACACAGCAGGGAAAAACTAGAATATTTTATTTTACTTAATTGCTATAAACATTACACAGGAGAGGGTTTGCGCGAATGTAGTAAAAGCAATAAGGGAAAGTTAGTAAGTAGACAATAACGATTTTATATAGCGCCAAAGTGTGGTTGGCTTGTAACTTAACCACACATCAATCTATCAAACGAGGTAAGAGTAAAAAAAAAAAAAAAAAAAAAAAAAAAAAAAAAAAAAAAACTATAAAAATTTATAAAATGAATGACTGACTTACCGACTCCACCAAGCACGGTACTGGTTTCCAATTTGGCTTTTTTAGTGGCTAAATCCTGATTATTATTATCGGAAGCGGGCGCCATAATTGCTGCTTGACTTAAAAGTTCGTCGCTTCCACGCTAAAATAAAATTAAAAATGCAAGAAAAAACCAAATATTATTAAAGTTATTCGTTAAAAAGTTTCAGTATAAACTTAAATTACTTTGAAATAATTATCATTTTGTTGTTTGTGTTGATTTTCACACCTAATTACAAAAACAAAAATAACAGCATTATAAAAAAAAAAAAAAAAGTGCATTTTAACTAAGAGAAATATTTATACAACACTTTCGAGAAATGTTGATTTATTTTATATAGCAAAACACAACACCTGAGGAATGAAAATATTTATGAATGAGTGAGAAATCCCTCTCATAAAAGATTACTGTTGCTGGAGATGTTAAAGCAGAGATTTAAGAATTTTCTCATTAAAAAATCAAAATATTCTTGAATGCGTCATCTATATATATATGTATATATATATGTATATAGAAGACTATATATTAGTCTTCTCGTACTTCGTAGAAAAATAATATGAAAATTATGATCGTAATCGCAAATAGTCAGTTTTTTTCTTCTGAACTAGGGCCAAGATAGCAAAAAGGCATTAATTTGCTATTAAATGTTTTGCTGTTAAATGATTTATCACTCATTATTTAATTTGCAAACCCAAAGATGCAACCTGCAGTCTTCAATTTTTTTCGTTATTCATTGATATATGCTCTCCCGTGTTTTAATTGATGGAAGTATATAATAAAAAATCAATTTAAGGTTTCCCCATTTATCTAACAACAATGCTAAAGACACATTGCCAAAAACACTATAAATTTCTTTATCATCTTTTTTGGTTTCTTTTTCTTCAAAGCTATACACGCGGACAGAACTAAAACCATTTTTGGAAAATATATTGAAATATATTGTGCATTTTTTAGGTTCATTTTACGTGCTTGAGCACGTATGAGTGGGCGAGTTCTAGATATGTGCCTGAAATCATATATATATATATGAGACCAAGTTATATGAAAGCAAACTGATCATGACAAGATTAAAAATGTGTGCCGTGCAAAAAAAATTTGAAAAGAGTCTTGTTCAAATCGCTTTAAGCTACATGATCAGTGCACACAGTATAGACAGACAGCTTAGCTATACCGGTCAGACAAAAACACACCTCTTAATGAACTTTTTTTCTTTTTTTTTTTTGGAACCACAGGCGCCGTTCGGATGAGAGTTATTAAATCGTTCCAAAATCGAGACACGTTGCTTGATATTAGTATTGATCGACACAGACGGGATGGAAAAAGCGGACTTTCCCAAATTAATTTGAATTAAAAATATTTCTAGATATTAGTATTGATGGACAGACATGTATCACTTTTTTCAGAAAAAGGTGGAAAACATTCCCAACTACATTTGGATTGGCTCTTTTCTAAAGAGCGTTTCCAAGAATTATAGGACACTTCGATACCGTCCTTCCAATTGTACGGGGGTACGAACGAAAACTTTCCTTCTTTAATGGCTCACCAATATGAGATCATCAAAGTTTTATAGTTATTTGTTACAAATTTAATTCAAGCAACAATTTTGAGCTTCCTACATAAGTAACATATCACTGACTTGATGATGTCAAAAGCGGAAAAACTTTTGCTTACTCTCTCTTAATCTTTTAAGAACACTTTACAATTGTTTTCTATATTTTCTTGCTATTTCTCTTTCCCTTTGTTTTTTTTTTTGTACACATTTGAAAGATGTTTTGCCTTCTTGACGAAAGTTGTTTAATTTTCAACAAAACAACACTTAAAAAAATGTATATATATATAAAGAAGGAAGTAGTGGACAGGGGACAAATATATTTATTTGTATAAAAAGAAAATCTACATTGTATACTGAGAAGTAAACGGGGTCATCAACAAAGTGTTTACACTTTTCTATATGCCTATATATATATATATATATATATATATATACATAGGCAGAGGTAAAGTTGTATGCATCATACACACGAGCAGTTGACAAACCGGAAATATACGCGCAAATAAACTCATAATAAAGTCATGCACATATTTATATTTATATAGAAAAAAAAAAAAAAAATTTCTTTATTTTTCATTCTTTATTCGGAAAAAAGAGTTTTTCCAAGCTGAGCTTGTTAAGGAAATTTTCTTTTTCTTAAAAAGTACTTCAAAACTAAAAGTTTTGTTGACTTATTTTATTTTATGCACACACTTTTCCCTTTCTTTTTCTCTATTTCTCCCCCTTCTCCTCCTCCTCCCCCACCCCCCTCTCAACCACTCACTCCACTCTGCTTTCTTTTCCCATCATATTTATGATTTTATTTTACTCTTATTATTATTATTATTTTTTATTTTTTTTTTTGCATAGTTATGCGGCGGGCAAAATTAAATAATTTAAAGTTTTTCGTAGGCAGCTACAGCAGGCAACAAGTGTATAAAAATAGTAAAATATCATTACAAAAATAATAATAATAATAACATAATAATATATATATATATATATATATATATATATAATATAATAAAATGCAATTAGTTTATGCGAACAATTGAAAACTGCAACAAATTTTTTAATTAATTGAAGACTAACTAGCTGCACTGCACACAGTCTATATATATTTTATAACAATATTGTTATTAGCATAATAAACTTATTTCTCTGAAAATGCGCAACAACATAACGGAACACAACAACGCATTTTGTGTTTGTTGTCAACCGTAATAATACGAATTTAAGTAAATTCGGAAAAATTATTTTTGGAGAACACATTCACTAGAATGAATGAAATGAAATTTGATATTTACGCTATTCTTTAATAAAATTAAATTTAATATATATACGAGGCCTCGATGATGGTAGACAACAAATATTTTTAAAATTTAAAAAATTTATCTATATTTAAATATGACGGCAATTGACACATAATACTCAAAATATACTAAGAGGAAGAGGTAACGTTGCTAAACGGTTGGGCTAGCTATGGGTAAAATTCAAATTTCAATTATGAGTTTTTGCTCTTGATGACAATTAACGTATGTACCATCATACATACATCATTGTTTCTTAAACTTAGGAAGCGGGTTGAGACAAGGTGTACTTTCGAAGCTTTAAAACAGCAATTCGATCACGAGATGCTAAGCAGTCTCATAAATGGGCCATAGAAAGTATTTAGCATTTATTTTCGGAAGGTGTTACTCTTGAGACGATGCTTACGTGTCTCGTGTGCGCTTTTCAACCAATATAAGTAACATATTGTTAAACGCTGAACATAAAATTTGAAAAATGTACAAACATCATGGTTCAAGTTGATCGTCAACCAGGATCGAACAAACCTTTTATGACAAGGTGTTTATTATCGTAGGAGAAAACGCATGCCGAAGGTCGAGAATTTATGCCATGCATTCTTCAGACACTCAAGGATATATTTCGTTACTCTTGTCGAAATTTTGCAGAGAACTTCCAGATATGTTCTACACAAATTACTAATCATCCTGATGTTTGCCAATCTCAAGTAACTGAAAAGTAAAATCCATCATTGGAAAACAAAGAAAGATCATTTTACTAAATCCTGGCTTACATCCGACGTCAATTAACCAAATCTGCATGTGAATGTTAAAATAGTCGCAGTCGCTCGATCTCTACCGCTGCAATGTCAAGCCAAGGAAACAACGAATTTTAGGAAGAGGAAGATATGACATTTCCTCGAAATGTATTTTCATTGATTTTTTATTTTTATTATTTGTTTGAATTTTGAAAATATTAACGCGAAAGCCGGACATTTTTCGAACTTTTGCAAATTTCCGCAAACCCAAAATTGTTGCTTTATAATTTCTTACAGTAGGGAGAAAACGCGAACATTATAATAATGAAAGTGTTCAAAATTTATATAAAATTTATCATAACAGATTTATTCATTTTGTTTTTATGCATCATATGATCGCGTTCTACACTTGTTGTTTGTTACTAAAGGATTTAATAAATCGCCTGTCAACTAAAAAGCGATTGAATTATATCAACGTATTTATCACGCATAGCAACAAAACATCTGTACATATATGCATCAAAAAAAAAAGAAATAAAAAAAAAAAAAGTATTTGCATTGAATGCATTGTGAATTGCATCCATCATCATAGCCTACAGAAATTGTGACTTAGCATTACTCCCCCCGCCCCGAACAGTAGGCAGCGGTAATAACAAGAACAAGTGATTTATATTCAAACACAAACAGTAGACGAAAAAAAATTCATTTGAGAATAGAATAGATTTGTTATCCAAGCGAAATAGTAATTGAATTGATAACTGTATTAAATGAAATTGATGAAAACGATTTTGCCAGACAAAAAAAAAAAAAAAAAAAAAAAAAAAAAATGTATGATGGATAATATATTTCATAAATTTTAAACAATTTAAATTTTTTTCATTTTTCTTTTTTTTTTTTTCATTTCTTTCGCAACAACAATTGTTTGTTGGACAACAAACAACAATGTTGGACAACATTCAATTTTATTTAATGGATTTGTCATTTGCCAAAGATAAGTTGGGAAGTGTGCAGTAGCATGGAGATGGAATGTTGGGTAATAGGAAAGGAGAAGAGAGATTAGTTTGGGTGTGCGGGTGCACGAAATGGGAAAACGTAAAATTTAAATGTTTAAATATTTACAGGTCCTTTGGTGTGTACATACACACGGGCTGCTGCTTTCTTTCTATCCTCTTAATGCTTTTTTTTTTTTATATTTATTTTATTTGCCTTCTGTTTTTTTTTTTTTTTTTTTTTTTTTTTCTTTTTTAACGAAAAGAAAAGAAACGTTTTCTGTCAAGTGACTAAAAGTATAAAGTGCTCAAGATTATTATTGTGAGAAAGTTTTTGTTAAGAATGCATTAAATAAAAAACAAGAGAAAATTACATAAAATATTCAAAAACAGAGAAGGAAGGTATTCAACCGAGAAACAGGAAGAAGTGTGAATAAGAAATATATAAGGAAAAATAAAAAGAAGAGAAGATGCTACAAATTTTATATACGAAACGCATTATAATGAACTGAGGGTAAAACGAAACAATTCGACTGTT